ATTATTGACATTGACATAATAATATATATTTTATGGCATAAGCTGATAAACGAGCAGACGGAACACCTGATGGCAAGCGAAGAGCCCCCGTGGACTCAGAATAACACAAATGAAAACACTCACTATTGAGAAAATGCGTCGTCGCTGATGTTTTCCTAGATTTCTTGTCATTTGTGTCTAGATCTGAAACAAACATTACATTTTAGTTGACTATAAACAATTTAGGATACAATTTTAGGTATATTATCTGGACATTTAGACGCACTGCATCGATAAAAGTTGACAGAACAAAATGTAGATACATGACATCTATGACATTGACAGATTACTTACGCAATGACATATTATACGTACTTACAAATGAGTTAGTTTATAGAATACAGTCCAAGTAAGAAGATCATCAGATGATATTTTTTTGAGCAATGGTAGTTTCTAAGCTATAATTTTTTTTAATCATTCCTCACGATGTTTTCCTTCACCGTTTGTCAGTGGTGCCTAGATAATCTTAGAACCAACGGCAATTGCTTTCTGCAGTACGAAGTAACGAAGCAAGGATGTAGTAGACTCACTGTTGGGCTGGTTGTTGGCGTGGATGCGCTCCATGAAGCGCGAGATGCGGTTGTAGTGGTCGGGCTGGTGGTCGAGGCAGCAGGCCTCGTCCAGGCGGCGCGCGCAGGCGCGGTGCACGCGCAGCTGGCAGTCGCCGCACACGTAGGCCTGCGGCGCCACGCCCGCGATCAGCAGCCCGCACTGGTGGCAGTGCGCCACCGCCGTCAGCGCCTGCGCGCCCAGGTGGTGCCCGCGCACCACCAGCCCCGCTCCAGCCTTGCCCAGCTGCTTCAGGCGCTGCTTGTACAGCTTGTCTCGCTGCAGGAATGCCGCGCGGGCGCCGCCTGCTGCCGCTGCTACTGACGCTGGCCTGCGGACGAGAATGTTATGTTAATAGATGATTTGTGTTTGTCACAAAGGGTATGCACATACTACAGAATGATACTACGATCCTCACAATATAGTTATCTAGCTCCCATCACATTAATGCGTTTGATTCTAACTACATATATTATATATTGATTACGAATACTGCGTACCTCGAGTTTTTCGATCGTATCCAATGAAAATAAAATAATAATATTTGAAGCAAATTACGGCTGGATGTTGTTCACATTGAATTCATGATACTGAGAAAATTAGCGGGAACGCGAAGCGTTTTGAATACACGCTCACTCGCTAAACATTTAAGCGGCGACTACTAGCGCAAAAGCGGAGCCCGCCCGAAGAAGGCTTCGATTTTTAAATTTTACCGCGAACAGTTGCCTCCAATATTATAAAGTTTTTTTAATCCCCAAAAGCGGCAATGTAAACGACCTTAACTTGTATGTACCTTCCTGGTCTAATTGAAATATATGATTTTGACTTTGAACTTGTACAATGAATATACACAATACACATGTAATACATAACAATATGGTTACGAGACTACATTAACAACTATTATACTCTAATCCCGTTATTAATATTCGATACTTTCCTCAATAACAATTAATAGGAATGATATATTCAATTTGCATACATATATTCCTTAATACTAGGAAATTATGCACATTTATTGTTTTGACTAATTGAATTTAATACAATAGCTGGGAACAACATTGCAAGACAGTAGAATTCAAATTATGACCATATTTAAGTCACATTTTATGCAAAAAAAAGTGCAGTATGTAGGTACTCATAAACTCTGTCTATAAATAATTAATGAAATACTTACAGAAAAAAAATATATTCTATAAATTATTTTATAAACATAAATATGTATGTATATATTTTATAAATTATTTAGTTATTGCAGATGTTTTATAAAATTATTGTATATTTTTTTATTATTATTCATGTTTATAGCATATAGCTCCGGGCTAGTGCTGAAAATCAGCGCCGCGACTCGAGTTATTGCGCTCGGGTCGCGGCATTTTAGCTGAGCACTGGCCTTTGTCCTCCCTTCACCATTTTTATAGATTATGACAAACCCTTCTTATGTAGAGGGTTCGTCATAATCTCTACTTGTGCCAGGTGACTTAAAAGTGGCATTTTAGAAAAATAATAAAGTTTTTATATTTATTAATTTATATAATCTTACCTTAACTATCGTGACCGGTTTCCGCAATGCGATAGCTAGGCCTTAAAACCTAAATCTATGTTACTTTGTACTACCTACACATTTACGTTATAAACTATAGAGTACTGTGGTTTTTATAATACCTATCGTGAGACATACTAAAGTAAAATCGCGGGTTACTCACGTGAATATACTGAGAAAAGCTCTACTAGTTTCGAACCACAGAGGGCTTCTTCCTCACGCGCGGTTCGGCGACCGCGCACTTCTGTATAGTCACGTGAATAACCCGCGATTTTACTTAATTTAGTACTGTGGTTATCAATTTATCAATAAGTCACGTTTTAATCGCAATTATAGTAAATTAATTTGTAATTAAATATAGAGATACCCTTTATTAGATTAATTAGACTAACAAAGTTGATATACAGTACTATATAGATAGAGAAATAAGATTATTCTCTGTGAGGGAATTATATAAACACACTAGATTAAGAACTCACTATAAAACTCTGTCTGTACAGACACAATGTGGCGTGCTACCATAATATTACCTACCAGCTATTGCAGCATACCTACATTGACAAAATAAATAATACATATTTCTATCTAAAGTCAAATGCACATGATTTAGGATTTAGCTTTAGTTTAATTATTTAAAAAAGGAGACACCTTAGTTCTTCAGCTATCTATCTATCGCTGAACTACTATTCTTTTAAGCTGAGCTTTGACCTTATTGCGCCGTCTTCACTGTTTAATTTTTTATGTGTTATTGTACTTTGTGTCGGTGTGCAAATAAACCATATCTCTTTCTTCTTTCATTCTTTCTTCTTCTTCTTTTATTTATTGTCACGACATGTTGACTATACGTCACAGCCAAACACTTTTCAGGTTTTTAAAACATCAACATAACATAACCTAACCTACATTAGATATTTGATTTAATTAACATTGAAACAAAATATAATTAATATACTGTATAATAAAGGGGAATATAGAATCATGTACTATCAACATAAACATGTTTTCCTTTTATTTCATACTTAGTTCTCACAATTTTATGCGGATAATACCATAGAATGTACCACCCGCCTTGGGTGAGGCAAGAGAGGGGCTGTCAGACTCGTACTGACTACACACCACCCAGTTGCTACTCATGCATAGAGCCGGAGTCACAATGACTTGTTGCGGTGGTCCGTAGCTCTGGTGAATACCCTGAGCTCTTTATCACAGAACAATACTCACTTGGCACTTTTCAATTTCTTCTTATATTTAGACTTAGGAGACTGCCACCATTTCCTCCTAACTTCCAGAGCTTCAACTTCAGTAATATCCAACATATTCACCATTTAAGAATTAAATTTTACACAAACACTTCCTAATACTAACGGAGACTAACTATAAATAATCATACGACAGGAAAAATTGAAGTTTGCCTCATAATGAATCATTTGTTTGAAACAAATTATTAAATTGTAATAAAATCCCTTCATGAGCACAATTTTTGACTTTGTAATATCACTTTTATTACGTAAAAAATACGAGTTATTCTAACTTTTTTGTGTTGAAAGTAAGCACACGTTTTTGATTTAGTAATATAGATTTTGTTACGTAAAAAATAAGGGTTTTCTATGTTAGACATATGTATTCGTGTATCACTTTTGACGTTATATGATCGAGTGAGAATTTATTGTACGCTATCAGTCGTTGATAAGCTGTGTTTACTATGATTATCTCTTTGCTGAATGATTAGCAAATATCGTATCGTAAATACATTTTAGATTTCGCATGAACTGCATTGCTTTGAATCAGACTTATTTTTAATTCAAGCTATACAAAACCAGTATACCTTTGTCTTACTTTGTACGATCGTTTCAAACATTCAACGGTGTATTTATACTGGTTTTGCATAGCCTAATAGTCATTGTATTTACAGTTGCTTTTTACCATTCATGGTAAAGATATATAATGCAAGTATGTACTTTCAGTTAGTCACGTAGTTTCACTTTACCTTGACGATATTCCAAGTAACTTAGGGGTCATTATCATGCACTTTGACGTCATAAAATTTACACGTTACGTCACAACTGCAACACTCATTCATTATTCGGACAGCAAATGATTTGCAACCGATCCAGTACTTTCGAAACCTGTGCACTGTGCAGTGCTAGTAAATAAACAAACAACTAAATCTTTCCGCTTTATATTTTAGTGTAGACAAATAAACACAATGAAAATTTATCCTTACATGACGTTACTGGTTGCTATCACAACATACGAACGTGTTACATACGATATTGATTTGTATTAAAAATAATTATATTGGTGAGATTTTCGAAAGATTTAAATGCTAAATATTTTTAACCAATGTAATTTATATAAATAAAAATTAATTCCCGTTCGTTAGTCTCGCTAAAATTCGAGAATTTGTTTGTGGAAATCCAGTGAAGGTTTAAAAGGTAAAAATATTTTTAGATGATATGAAGTTTGCCGGGTCAGTTAGATGTATGATAAATATAACAGAAGATGAACAAGTAACTAAGTATTGGCGTATGATGCGAGTTTTGTATTGTTTGTCTAACTACATGGAATAAGGCCGAATAGGACTAAGTTCAGTAGTAAATCATTTGTTTCTTAAATAGCAGAAAAAAACATATTCCTTCTTTTTACTCGTATCATTTTTGATGTCGATATTTGTTTTACATCACACACATTGACAGCCTATAAGTGGTTATTACTGACTAACAGCGTTTGAGCATTAATGGCCCCACTACTCCAGCTATATTGTTTAGAAGGTGCTTATTTTTTACCATGTAAAGGTAAGCGATCAATGTGGTCTAGGGATACCCGCAACACTAAAGGCAACAACGCAACACAAGTGTGTCGCTGGCCTTTAAAGAAATGATACGCTTTTTCTTTGAAAGTCGTATCGAGAGTAGATGATGTAGTTGGCGGCGGTACCTGCAGTGCAGACACAGCGCGGCGGCGACGAGCGCGGCGATGAAGGTGGCGTGCGCGTCGTGCGCGTGCGCGGCGTTGGGCCCGTGCGCGCGGCGGGCCCGTGCGGCGCGGCGTGCGCGTGCGCGGCGGCGGGCGGCAGCGCGGCGGCGGCGCGCAGCTGGCCGCACATCAACTGCTCCACCACCACCAGCTCCTGCACACCGGGGACGCACTTTATACTACTACTTCTAATTCTACATACATTTTTAGTGTGGGAGAGCCATGCTTCGCCACGAATGAGCCGGCTCGACCGGAGCGATATCACTATCGAGCAAAAAACCGACGTGGAAAAACGCTTGCGTTGTGTTTCGTCGTGTGAGTGAGGTTACCGGAGGCCCTATTACTCCCTTTCATACGTAGACTTAACTCGTCGAGTACCGATTTTATAGACACAATTAAAAAACAATAGGTCGTGGTCACCGGTGACCGCTTGGTGTTTGACAGTTTAATACTTATCAGAGAGCACTACTACTTCTGTCAAATATGTAATCTAACGGGCAAAATTTATGAATCCAAAATTTCTAGATCAAACGAGATTTTTGACAGAAGTTCCATAGAACGAATGCTAAAATTAAATATCAATACAAAAACTTAAAATACGGTGAATAGAACATTGGTAAGCCCGTATCAATTTTTAAGTGGACTTTGTCTGTAAAATGACACATAATCCAACCGTACTGTATTGTACTTTTCATATTGGCAACACTTTCATTTCTTAAAAGTGGGTTCTGAGTTTGGTAACTTGATCTGGATTTTCTTTTTTAAACTGTCAAACACCAAGCGGTCACCGGTGACCGCGACCCATTGTTCTTTAATTGTGTCTATAAAACCGGTACTCGACGAGTTAAGAGCGGAAAATCATCGAATGACTCAGACTCTTACTGACTAAAACCACCCCGTTCCTTCTCCTGCACGTCGAGCCGTAGCCCCGGTAACTCGTTAGGTTCTCCGCGACGGTCAACTTTGGGTACCACTGCATTAGACAATATATGAAAACATTTAAATATTTTAAAATAAATATAGTAACATACCTGAGCCTTATCGACATCGCATTTGTCGATAACGCTATCTTCAGGTCCATAGAGCGTGCCCAGGCCGACCTGCCTCTTGACCTGGAACTCCGTCAGTTGCTGGCTCAGCTCATCCTTGGCCTTCTGCCTAGCTTTGCGAAACACATTGCGAAGGAGCTCTTCTTTTTCGTACTCTAGAAATAAATGAGAATGTAGTTTGAGTAAGTTTTAGATTTTGGGACGTTTTTATTAATAGTAGATAGTATCATAGGTAAGAAAAAAATTAGAGATGATTAATAAATCTGATAATCAGTTACCGATTTCATTCCAAAATTACTGAATCAAGATTGAATTTAGACATTAGCTATAAAATAATTTTGTCAAAAATCAAGATCTATCTAAAAATTTCGGAAATCGATGGGTAAGGAGTCTGTGCAGAAATTTGTAACCTCTTTACTGAGTTAATATCGAAATCTATTGATAGTATAAATGTGCTATTTTAAATACTAACCATTAACTAAAACATGTTCGATTTCATTCGCCATGTTCTCGTCTACACCGCTCAACTGTAGAATCTGTGAAATTACATCAAATAATGGTATACAGAAATTAATTATCTATCATCCGTCATCCAACATTCATCATCCAACATCCATCATACATCATCCAGCATCTATCATCCATCATCTATTTTCCAGTATCCAACATCCAACATCCATCATACATTATCCAGTATTCAAAATCCATCATCCATCATCTAAAATCCATCATCTATCATCCAACATCCACGATGCAATAATTACCGCGTTGGGTACGAGGAATGTGGAGTGTATCTCGTACGCCCAGCGGCGCAGAGTGTGTGTCTGTACTCCGCTCGCACTGCGGTACCCGTCCGTTAGTACTAGTAGCAGACATGCGCACGCGCATCTGTAACAAATCATAATTATAATTTACAAAACAAAAATGCATACTGATTTATAAGCAAACATCTATTGAATTCTACGATTTTAGGAGATAAAAAATATGAACCTACATAATTATCATTTTACTACCAACTTTTTATAAAAGTTGTACTTTTGAATGCTTCATTCGCCTTTATCAGGTTTATTGAGGATCATCAAAGCCTTGTAATCCTTGAAAACAATTTTTAAGACGTTGAATATGTATGGCGACGCACATTGAAGATTCGCCGATAAATCGACAGATGACGACCCAACCTCATACATTGCGCTAGTGAAGTTTACATGCGAATAAACACGGACAGAAAATCCCAACAGACAACGGTTGCGCATAAAGCTCACCAGGCACTATCACCTCGCCTGGTCGGAGGATCCTTCGTTTCTTGGGGAAGTTTAATAACCCTATTCTGAAGGAGAAAACCCTACTTTTACGCTACGGATACATAACGCGATTTTCACCCGCGCCCGCTGTGCCGGAATGGAGATTTATTTTCAAAACTCACGAGACCTCCGTTTTCTAGGGTCACGCAGCTGCCACGGTTGCGATTATCGCCCGCAAAGTTGGCAGTTCATTATCGCAAGACGGTTGACTCAGCAATCAGTTGACTTCCTTAAGATCAGGTAAAGAAAAGATAAATATATATTTTTTTAATCTAATATGGTTCATACCTCCTCTCTCCCAGCAGCCAGTTGAGCAGTACTGCTGTTCGCGCCTTCGATTCCCGTACTGATCGCAGGTTTGAGAATAAACCGGAGTACGTCGATGTGTCCTGGAAGGTACAATAACACGATATGGTTACTCACGTCAAACCATAGACCCATTTGCACTCATTCAAATTTTAAGTAGGCCCTAAGCTAAAATAGGTGACACTAAACAATATTTTGATGTTTACCAACCTATAAGTGATACTTAACAGTACAAGTAGGGGGTTAGTTTAGATGTTCCTTAACGCTAAGTAAATCTATGTAGTTAAGAAATAGTTTAGGGGGGTGTGATTGGTGAATACGGCTATAAAACTTAATACGAATTAATAAAAGAATGGTTCCAGTATATATTTTCAATTGAAACTATATGAATAGTGTACTGCCTCGTTGGCCGAGTGGTCGCAAGTGCGACTGCCGGGCAAGGAGTCTCGGGTCGGGCAAAGTATTACTGGGTTTTTAAAAAATTCTCAGTAGTAGCACGGAGTCTGGAATGGTGCACCGGTATATGGCAATAGGGTCACCTTCTATTACAAGGGACTCATAACATAAATAGTGAAAACTGGGTGTTACATTGTACAGTGGCATAATGTGCACCTCTGCCTATCCCTTCGAGGATAAAAGGCGTGATGTTATGAATAGTGTAATATTTAGACTTACCGATGCGGGTGAGTCATCTTCTTCCATTGAGATGATGGCTCTTTGTGGGTCTGCGCATGGCTGGAATGGAGAAAGCATACAATTCATTCACACACAAATCAAAAATTCGCAGGTTGAAGTTAAAACTACAGCTATCATGGGATCAAAACCTGAATATAAATTAAAATATACGACCGAATTACCTTTTTACAAAATTCTTATTTATATTACGGAATCTCAAATGAGTTCCAGTGTTTAACAATATTTTTTATTACAATGGCACTTATAAACAAATAGCGGTAAGTCAACGATATTAGATAAAACTACACCAATCTCACACATAGGACCCCCTTAGTTTTTATCAAATTTCCGTGGTGCTTGGCGACTGGGCTTCACCCAGTTGTACAGTCTCTTTTTTGTGCCTTCAGGCTTAATTCATTCTGTGTCCTGCAGTAATTCACCGAGGGAAGTGGAAACTATAATTTTTTTCTTCTCCTCTTATAATATGCTGATTCACTTCGTTGCGGGAACCAAGACAGTTATTCATATCCCTGAGACGCGCCGGACTTCAGTGTTCCGGTGTTTTCATGGTTGTATCTACTGTAGATCCTGGCTTACAAGAGTTGCAGCGGTTTTGGGAGGTTGTGGCGGGCTGGTCCCATAAAAAACCTACAGCAATCTGCAACGCATGTTCAACCTTCCAATCTTGTAATAAAATCTAAAATTCATTGACGATTTACTCTGTTATACACGTGCCTACCCCGTTAATGCGTACCTGTGTGTTGGTATGGTACGGCGGCGGCGGAGTCCCCGGGGGCGGCGTGCCACTGTCGGGCGGGGACCGCGCCGTCCGCGCCAGCGGAGACGATACTAGACTTGCTGGAATAGGAAACAAACATCGCATAAATTTAAAAAGACTAAACATATTTAGAAATGAAAAAGTGTAATGTGAATATGATCTTTGGTTTTGAATTAAGTTTTTCAATAGAATCTGAATAATTACTGCAATGTCAGTAAATAATCTTGACAATCAAATCGTAACTAACAATACTCTTGATCACCAAAACACGTTAAAGATGATTTCCAAATTTGAATCAGTTTATGCTCATTAACTACAAACCACAACAACCCTCGTTTTAAGAATTGTTAATAGAGTAGTTTCCTAAATTTTATTTTAATGTCCGTGTGGTAGATTAATTTAAAACTTTAGACACGTATTGAATTGATGAGAATAACGCATATGAATTTTCAAAACCAGGGTTTGGATTTAAGACATTAAAATGATTGCTATAGCGATAATGGTGTCTCAGAAATGTATAAAAAATATCTAAAAACTCACATCTATTCAAGTCAGTGTCCAGTTGTTCGGGAGACGAGCGACTTCTCATGTGTAACACAGGCACACCTGTCCGGTTGTCCGTCTGTGAACATTAGTACATACAATTATATACAAAGAAATTATTATTATTATCAGTAACATTGTAGAGAACGCATTTTAGATGTGAAACACTAAAAATATTCTATTCGCATATTTTTCATTCTTCATTCTTTAATTGATTTGCAACTTTAATGCTTTGTATTAAAGTCGAAAATCTATTAAAGGAATCTGATACATTTACATATTTTTCTACTAAATTAAATTCATTTCTGTGTTTCCACATCAAAAAGCATTTATCATACTTATAATGTACAGCCTTATTAATAAAGAAATATAATTATATCAATTTTAGTATAATATAGACGAGACATAATTAGTGTTACCATTAAATAAATGGTGAATGAAAATGATTCGACAGTGTTGCCAGAGTTAAATATAAAAAGCAATTATTGTTATTTTTGATTGATTTTATTAATAAGGCTTTATTATTTTATATACTTATGATAATGTTAGTCACAATTTGGAAATGTTATAACATGAAAATGCTTGTAGGCATTTTTGACATAAAACATGGAATTTTGTAAAACCTGAAATATTTACAAAAGACTAATTTTCTTATTATTATTCTAAATATATTAATTATAACCTGTCTTATAAATATTTGTGCAACGTAGATACATTCCGCGATTGAAAAAAAAATATCAAAGTATTTTTTAAGCATTAAGAAAATAAAGTAAAAGCTATAGCTACGAAAAAAGGTAAAAAATATGCAGAGGAACATTCAGCCCAACGATATAGAGATTCCATAGAAAACATTCACCTGAGCACCGACACGAGGTTCCAGAACAATATCATTTTACATTGCGACTATTTACACTTGAGAAGTGGTGTTTATGAACAGAAAAGACATCTTTTTGTTCAATTTTTGTTGAAAAAATTATCTGTTTTCAATAATATGCTATTTTATTCATACAATTTTCAATGTTAAACCCTTTTTTACAATGAATAATCTATTGGCTTTTTCGAGAATGTTGATATAATTGTTCTAAAATCTGTGTGAGTCGAGTATACCTGTAGCGGCGGCGGTGGCACATTGACCAGCGGGTAACTCATCTGCATCGCGATGGAGTTGGGCTGCGGGCCGTCCAGCTCGCCGTCCAGGGACCCGTCCAGCGAGTGCGACGAGCGACGGTGCTCGTGCATCGACTGGTGCATCGAGAACTGGTCCCCAACGTAGCGGCCGTAGTACTTCTGCGAGCTGTGGCCGGGCTTGGGCTGGGCCAGCGGGTTCAAGGGCGGACTCATGCTGGGCCGCTTGGGCCGGTCGGTGGAGCGCGGCGGCAGCGGCGGCGGCGTGACGTTGTCGAGGCAGGTGGTGGGCACGAGCGGCACGGTGTGCGAGTGCGGGCGGCGCCGCGCGCCCTCGTCCGAGTTCTGGCGCAGCAGCGGCGCGGGCGCGGGCGCGGGCGCGGCCGGCTCGGCCTGCTTGGCGCGGCTGTTGCGCAGGTTGCGCAGGCTCTGGCCCGTGAGGTTGGACAGCGAGCGCGGCAGGCCGCTGAGGAAGCCGCCGGGCTGGGGGCCGGCGCCGCGCTCGGGGTGCTTGGAGGCCCGCGGCCCGGGGCCGGGGGAGCCCGGCTGCCGCGCCAATAAGCGTGTATGTTACAGACACTGTGCTGTGCTGAGATTTCGTGGCAGCCTAACTTTACACGTGTCTAACACTACGGTGGAGCTGATGGGAACTTTGTAAAGTGAGCTACATTGAGATTTCTTAATAAGACTAGTCTTACAGTAAATTCGTTTGATAATAAATAACATAAAAGATCGTTGCGAAACACTTGTAAATACAAATATGCAACTTAAGAGGCGACAATATGAAGCCCTGAGGAACTCCTGTTCCAATGAGTCGGTAGAGGATTCGACTTATTGAATCCGTAATATAGTAATACCTAGGATTAATAAGTTGAACCACAAGTCTCAGAAAACGAATTTAAACGATTTTATACTCATTTAAGTATCGATTATTGACTTGACTTCTAAAATCAATAAATCGAACGCTTTAGTTAAGTCGAAGAAGCATAATTTGAATAACTGTCTCATTTAAAAAATGTAAACAAAGCTGCTAATAATTTTAAGATATTATTATGTTATATAATAAAAATCTCAACACAACAAAGTGCATGGTGTTGCCATAGTTAAATAATAAATAGTATAGATGTGTGATGTACAGTTACAACCATTCCCATCAGATGAGACGAAAGTTACAATAAATATATATAAATGTATGATATAGCTGTCAGTTTGTCTGTTTTAATGTTTCTACCATGTCTGGTTCTATGCATATACTAATTAATGAACGCGACAATTTATTTTTCGGTGTCTTTTATGATTTATTGTATATAAAACTTTATTTCTTATTTGACCTTATCAAATAACATTTATCCTTAACATTTAGCTTACAACATTGTCTCGTAATTACATACATTATTTGAGTCCATATTTTACAATTTATTATCATTACAATTCATTTTAAATATAAACAATAAACTCTATTGCTGATAAATCTAATAAACTACACTAAACTTCTTGAAACGTTTAAACCACAAAACAGCAATAAGAATTATTAAAAATGAGAATAAAAAATGAGAAAACGTACACAGACACACAATTACAAATATAAATAGACAAAAAAAACGCACACGTAGATACATAATACAGAGTCATTTACAAAACACACTCAAAGAAAAAAATCAACAAAAGCACATCAACTTTGCGGTAACCAATAGATTTTCAACTTTGATATTTTGGAATAAAGTAGAAAATCTATCAGCAGTTTGGGGATAGCTTGACATGCCGTTGCTACTTTCATCTCTGCACATTGTATGGCCAGTCTTAAGAACCCTTCTTTCATTATTTTCGATATTTGATGGGTCGACGTTTGACCACTATCTCGCCTGGTGGTAAGCGATGATGCGGTCTACGATGAAAGCACGTCGACCCATAAGCAACCTATTTACTCGGGCCTTAAATACACGCAAGTTACTCTTCAGGAAACCGACTCTGGAAAAGAATTCCACTCTTTAGCAGTATGCAGAAGGAATCTTGATGCGAAGCGCTTTGTGCGTGTGGGTAGGTTTTATTATAAGTGATAGATAACAGATATTTGTAGGAAGCTCATTTAGCATGTGGTTGCAGCTTGTGAAAGAGTATAGTGACAATAAGAGCTGATTAATAGACTACATATTTAACAGGCACCGAGCAGTAACCCTGATCTGATAAACCTGATCATTTTCAACTGGATGTTAGAGCAAGCCTTTCTTATATAGAAGTGACCCGTAGTCCAGCAGTGGGCTGTTACGGGCTGTTGACGATGTTGGTGAATTTAATGGGATAAATCGGTAAACGAGCAGACAGAGATCAACTGATGGTAAGCAATCGGCGTTGCCCATGGACACCTGGAACACCAGAGGCGTTACAAGTGCGTTACCGGCCTTTTGGAGATAAGGAAATTGAGGATTGTTCAGGGATTGGGAAGATTAGGAAAGGGGGGGAGGGTAATTTGATCTCCGGTAACGTCTCTCACACGACGAAACACAATACAAACGGTGTTTCACGTCGGTTTTCTGTGAGGTTATGGTATCACTTCAGTCGAGCCGGCACGGCTCTCCCACACTTAAATATTCTATCTCTTACAACAAAATTCTATCTCTAGTTAGCCATCGGATGGGTCTTTGAGACTGGTCATAAAATGTAGTGTATGTTTTACAAATGAGCATATGTAGTGACGTCACAGTTAAGGACAGCATGCATAGAAGCAGACAGGTACAAACACGTCGCCACCGACTCGTCCCGTTAGCCGTGTTAGTTTCACTTTAGCTCCCACAGTTTGGTTAAGGCGGTGGTAGTTCACTTGTAGACTGTAGACACTTGTAGAACACAAGTATTACTTCTAGAACTATCTAATTCCCGTAAAAATAAACCTATAATCCTCCTTGAAACATTTCATCATACAGAGCAAAATTTTTCACGAAATTCATAATCAAAAATTACTATGCTAGTCATTATAAAATCATGCTAATAAATAAAACAACAAATATTGGCAGTTGCAGATACACCTTACACTATTATGAGCTGTGGTCTTGGCCTGAAACTAGTCGAGCACTCTCGAACAGTTACGTGGATAGATATTGTAATGTAAATAAAAGAAAAAAGAAAAACCATTTATTAGATATAGAACCATGAAGACTACGTTATATTAAATTCCAGCGTACAAGCGGACGATATTTCCTTCTTCTTTCTATTTCTTTCTTTCTACCCTTCTCTCATCATAAACTGCCTACAAGCGAATTACCAACACCTTTGCGATATAAAACTGTACGGGCGCGATGTTACGTGGGACTGTATGCTTAATTATAATAACATTAAGGTTCACTTTCGCCTCTAAATAGAGGTATTATTGTGGCCAGGTTGCAGACGATTATTATTCCTATTTATAGAATATATGGGCTATTGTATAATAGGCAAACCTACGGTAGAAATTGTTTTGAACTGGATAAAATCTTTTTCAATGACATAATCAAGTCAAGTACCACAATACCCAACCACAATAATACCAAAAAAAGACATAAAAGTACAAAAAAAGTACAGTGACGATAAAAAAATAATAAAAAATGCTGCAAAATAGTTACAAAATGCAATGTGACGATACTTTAACAGTGTATTGCAAAATAGACTTTATTATAAAGGTGGTAAGGGCGTTACCTGTCCGGCTGTGATCGTGTCGATCTCATGTTGTAGCTTTGAGCAGCGCTGCTGAGCTGATTCCAGTTGAGCTTGCTTTCTCACGTCGGGGACTTTTAGTAGTTCATCTGGAATAGTAAAGTAATAAATTAATGACAAATACAATGACATAATATTAAAAAACAACAATTGGGTAGTTTCTAGGGTATCAAAATTGAAAATCTAATTAGTCCGTCAGTTAGATAATGAAAAAATATTAGACACGTATTTTTTTTATTTTCTCGTATTAAGTTGCAATACTTAAATAAAGTGCTACAAAATGTGGCACGCTGTGACGTCACACGATATTTCAAATCAATATATCGTCGAAAGTATATTATAATTTTGTGAAAAAAGAAATAATACGTGTCTAAAGTTTTAAATTAATGCATCAGACGGACATTAAAATAAAATTTAGGAAACTACCCTATTATGAGTCCCAGGAGAGGCTTGAGACTAATTGATTGGCTTCGTCAAATAGTTCACATCTATTGGAACAGTTCTATTACAGCATAAAACCAATAAATAAAAAAGTATTTCTAATTAAACGGGGTGAATGTTGGGGTAGGTCATGTGTATGTAAACTTGTATATTAGTAAATGTACCCACGACACAGGAGAAAATCGTAGTGTGGGGCAACGTTTTATATATAAAAAAGGTGTATGCATTATAGAACATTAGCCCAACAATTATTCACCCTTCTTCTGTATCTATTCACCCCGTTTTACCATTACATGTAAGCAAAAACACAACCATAACATTTTGGGTATCTAATGATAAAATCTTCTCAAGATTAAAACATTTTTTAAAAAGACAATGATTATTTTTATAAGCAGATAAAAGTGCAACTTACTGCGGAGATCCCTGATGAACTTCTGTTCCTGCTCCAGCATCAACCGCACAGTGTGAATCTTCGACACCTCCAGCTGACGCTGCTTCTCTGACTGGAATAATGATTACACAACTTTGGTTACAGTAGGTACATAATGTAACAAGCTAGAAGAAGGGATATTTGTACATTTATAGTGACCACCATTGCCTTAGCCCGTGTTCCCATGGGATAAAAAAGAGCCTATGTATTATTATATCAGACTGTAATATACCGCTTTACTAAATTTCATCCGGATCTCGTTACCCGTTTCCACGTCATTGAGTAACAAACATAGACACCAACTCATTCACAAACTTTCGCACCTATCACGCAGTAAGATAGCGAACGATACTTATTACATAGAAATCAGAACACACTTTGTAAATTCAATAGACTAATCTTTAAGTGTGGAAGAGCCATGCTTCACGAATGGGCCGGCTTGACCGGAGTGATACCACGGCCGAGCAGAAAACCGACGTGAAGCAACGCTTGCGTTGTGTTTCGTCGTGTGAGTGAGATTATCGGAGGCCCAATCCTCAAACTCCTAATCCGCCAAAGGCCGGTAAAGCATTTGTAAGGCCTCTGGTGTCTATGGGCGACGCCGATTGCTTACCATCAGGTGATCCGTCTACTCGTTTATCGACTGACACCATAAAAAAATTTAGGTAAAGTTAAGAAACACAAAAAACATCAACACATCACTGCTATCAAACTGAAGCTAGTATTTCGTGTGAATCCTTCAGCTCTGCCGCACCTGTACAAACAGCGGGCGTTAAGGTCGCGTGCTGTTGGAAGAACCAGTAGAAAAAATCCGTACTAAGACAAAAAACCTACATAACTAGGTACATGCTGATCAATAATGAAATCATACAAAACATATCGTCACGGTTTATATTCCCCTCAGAGGCATATTATAATAATATTAACATTATGTAGCTATGAGTCACATACGAATATAATAATAGGGGGCGAGGTTGTATATCAGAATTTGACATAATATCAGACAGACAGACAACTCCAGTATTTCCAAACATAAACTTATTGTTTACTTGACCTGGGAGTTGAACCTGAGCCTTGCTCGGCTGTCTCATTTGACACAACTAACCAAAATCATAATCAAATCAAAATTATTAAAAGACGGTATTCAAAAACAGTGATCAGCTGATCAACTAAGTTTCACAACAGTACTCGTGTGACCTTGAGCTGCGCATACGCAGCGTGTTTTACAACACCAGCGACTGTTGCATTTCTCGGACTGATAACGTCGGCCCAAGGTCACTGCTCGCGAGTAATGCACACAAATATTTTGAAGTTTACCTTTAAATTTTTAATTAAGTACTATTTTGATTATTTCCGCTGTTTTGTCTTGAGAACGGATGTTTTTTGGTAGATATTTTTATTGCTTCAGGGAATAATTTAAGAATTTTGGATTTTGATGGTTTTGTAATATCTTAATACTTATGCTAACTTATATACACACATGCCAGCAGGTCAACCATCGAATTTATTCAATAGAATTTCAACTTTATCGTGTTTTAATAAAATCGAAAATCTATTGTCAGTTTGTTATAACTTTTTTAATCATTGCTATCAAAGTGCCGTAACAGGCATTGAATATTGTAAGTCCTAAAGCTGGTCTACCTATTGAAAGGACCTAGTTACCTAGTTACAGGTGCTGATGGTCTTTCTCCCAAAAAACTACTTTGTTTTAGGATACTTCCTTCGTCATCAAAAAAGTGGTATTTACTACTTAAAACAACTTTTGTAAACTCACGTTAACTGGCACTGGTGCTGTGATCGGCGTTTTATGTCTCGAAGAATTCTGCTGTACTGTTAACACGGTTGATGGGTTCGCTGGAAAATATACAAAAATAATGTTAATTACATCTTTTAACACAATACATACAAAGCAAAGATAGATTATATTTAACTAAGGACGCATTTGTGTTGTGTTAAGAATAATTTGGATGATGAATGTAAAAGAAGCTTGTAAGGGGATGACGTCCGAAGGCAAAAAAAAGATGGTGTCGACTGTCGACCCCAAATAACTAGATATAAAAGTAAAACACTCAGTAAACAATACTTCGAAGTAGAAATAGAGGACGAGAGTATTATCACCGTCCACAGTTCCAGATTCCATGATCTACCCTTAAAACCAGGTATCATACTAAGACTTTCAAGGACAAAGGTCAAATAAAGCAATAATCTAATGACATTGACTGTTATACCTTAACAATTCGCAAGTATGGCGTCGCTCACTGATGCGAAGGCATTCAAGACATGCTCAGTAAAATGAACAGTTTAATAGGCACATAAAAACGAAATTAACATTCATACGATGATTCGCCGAGAAATGTTTTTCGTAGGTCGTTGGAATGTAAAAAATGTTTTTGTAGTTCGTCAATTGTATTGGGAATTTGGTGCTGGAAGAGAGATGGCTTTTGGCTATAAAAAAGTCTAAAAATAGCAGTCTAACAGTAAACGATTCAGTTGAAAATAAATCTGTTATAGTCAGGCAAAATATAGGTACACAATAATAAGACGGTCCCATAAGATTGGCTGAAGAGGAGAAAGATAAACATGCTTTCATAGAAGATAATTACCACAGAATCACGACGGAGATGGTAGTAGAAATCAAGCATATCAATAAACAAGAAGAACCTAAAGAAGCTAGACCTCGGAGGCCAGCCATAATATTTTACGATAATATTTCAGTTTTGATTAGGCCAACAACCCGTTAATCACACAGCACAAGCAAACGAAAGACCATAAATATAACAGAGACTTTCACGAGTCTCTAGAATAATAAACTAGCCAACGGTCAGGCATAGCCATAGTTAAATGTTCTACACCAATCAAAATCGCTTTCAACGCAACATCCAATATTACTGATTAATGGACGACTACTAGGTTACTTTCGTTCGGTAGCAAACAACCTATAAAAATATCTTTAAAAGTAATTAAATCTATTACACTATTCCTTTTCCCTTTTTGGTTAATTTGATCTTCAGTTATGTAAGAATCATTGACCCGATTATTGACTATTATAATTACATCTAGATAATCGTCTATTTTAGGTTTACTGATCATAACATTGTAGTTTTGATAAGTAAACAATATTTTATTAACATCAATGAAAAGCTACATGCTTGATTGGATTGCATTTGTATTGTATCGGGTTTTGGAAGCGTTCGACTTTCTAGTATGGCCATCGTACTAACTGTACTGAACAAACTGACTGACAATGTTCTTACCATAGTTAAGCTGTAAGTTTGGCAGGTTTTTCTGATAAAACCTAACCTTTTGCCTGGTCCTATCCTAACCATACCCAAAAACCATGAAATCTAAAGACCATGTAATAAAAAGGCGAGAGAAACTGTCGGTCTATTAGCTTAAACAACTAAAACAATTTTGATGAAAAGGCACAGAACTAGAATACACTTTAAAATCATCAACTTTCTAAGGAAACTCACCTCGTATCATATGCACGACTTGTTGATGTGTGTGATGATGTACTGGAACGGAATCGACGCGCAGGATCCTGTCGCCGGAACGGAGACCAGCTCGCCACGCGGCGCCGTGCTCCTTGACTGACTGTACGTATACGGGGTCCTCACCTGGAAAATACAGCGAAATATTATATCATCACTGTCCATCAGTGTTTGAAGGAAGAAAGAAAGAAAATCCATATTGAAGAAGTTTTTTTAAGATTTTTAAGACAAGTTCGCAGTAAACCAGTCCAAACAGAAGCGACTAATCAAAAAAAGTACGGAGACTATTAAGTCCAATGTATCACAGGAAGATTTTTTAGTCCATTCTTAATTGCCCCACATTAAGAATGGACCAATGTATTGAATGCTGTAACGAAATTTCATCACCATCATCATCATATCAGCCACAGGACGTCCACTGCTGAACATAGGCCTCCCTTAATGACTTCCAGATAGACCGGTTGGAAGCAACCTGCATTCAGCGGCTCCCTGCGACCTTAATCAAGAGATTTATCAGAAGAAAATATGAGGACGGAAAACAGTAACCATGTCATCATATTTTTCCTGATACGGTTTTAATCAAATCGCATTAGGCACCGACCTATTGCTATTCCATCCTCTGGGTTACTATCCAAATTATTTATTTTATTTTATTTTTAGCGTCCCACTGCAGGGCAAAGGCCACCCTGTCGCGGAGAACCTAACGGGTTACCGGGGCTCCTGGTCTAAGTGCAGGAGAAGGAACAGGGTGGTTTTTAGCTAGTAAGAGTCTGACACTCCCTCCCGCCTCACCCAGGCATGAACAGTCATTCAATGATTTTGGCCCTTTAAAAAAAGGCCACCCTTCATCATCCTTCCACGTTTTTTATTATTACTCAAATAATATTCTATATTAAATGGATTATGAAATTAACATAACCTTTGACTACCTTGCTTATTCTAGATTAGGATTTAAACCAACTACAACACGAAATAAACAAAATGTACTTCAATGTTAAACAGAAATGACGACACCAAACATGTAACTAAACAGTTGGCCTCGGAAGTGTGGATAATTTAATATTACATTTACAACAATATTGGAGCTTAGAAACCTTGACAGTAACATAGAGCAATGTCATACAGTTTGACAATGAAACTAGATACTCATCATTATTTAACACTAATTAAAACACATCCATCCAATCTAATGTGACAGGAATATCATGGACAAGTTTCACCCACTCTGCTTTGCCCTATTGATTGTAGCGTGATGTTTGATAGCCTATAGCCTTCCTCGATAATTGGGATATCCAACACAAAAACATTTTTTAAATCGAACCAGCAGTTCCTCAGCTTAGCGCGTTCAAACTACCAAATTCTTCAGTCTTATATAATAGTAGAGGATTTTATTCCAGGACAAGCAACTGTTTGATCATATTAGTCCAGCTGTTGTTGTTTTAATATCTCAAAGGATTGGGCCTAATTTACACCTACTGTTTACCAAATAATAAAGGGTAAAGGAGAAAATCCCAACCTCAATGCAGTAGCAGTACTGCGCAATTTCAAACCCGAAAAAATAATAATTTGCCATAAAAAATTGACGCCCTGTTTGGTGAAGCATGTGTTCAATGTTCACAGAAAAATCAATCACTTTTAATCAAGCACCAAATAATCAGCCAAACGCCCATTTAAATACCAAAACAGAAAATCCACACAAGAGAAATTCATCAATGCAAATTATCCGCATGAAGATACAGTTTAAGTAGAAGCACCTATCTAAATATTCGCTAACGATGCCTCATAATTTGATATACGTGGCAATCTGTCTGTCTGTCATTATGTCACGCAATTGACTATAGACTGAGAGACTATACTTCAAAGTAGAATCCAATATTAGTCTTATGGTAATCTTGCGGTTTGGCAACCACCGATACGACACGACTTAACGTAAAGGTCCGTTTTTGTCTTAGAATATTGTAAATATGCTTGTAATTTTAAAACGCATTCTTATAGGACTTCATTATAAAAAGATGTATTTTTTTAAAGGGGAATAAATCATCGAATGACTGCTCCCACCTGGGTGAGGCGGGAGGGAGTGTCAGACTCTTACTGACTAAAAACCACCCCGTTCCTTCTCCTGCACGTCGAGCCGGAGCCCCGGTAACGCGTTAGGTTCTCCGCGACTCCGAATCGGCATCAGCCCTGTTGGGCCCCATCTGTGGTGGTCTGATGGCTCTTTGAGGCGCACGTGGAATGCGACGCGCCGTACGCTCGGGTCTGTTTCTGGTCGGACGGGGAGCCACCCATGCTCGCCGTCCGCAGGCCCGCAATAAAAAGATGTATGGATGTGTATCTCTAATTTTTCGCTTCGTAAAAATCATCTGTATGTTTGACACGATTCCTTTAATCATGGAAGATAATCGCTAACATCTTTCCTAGTTTCCAACAATAAAGAGAAAGCAAAATTTTGGTTCTCATCTCATTTTTGAAATCTGGACTTCACACTCGGCATTGCACTTGGCAATCCTTTAACCATTCAAGAAGCTACTGACAATTTATGGATTTCATTGTTCTTAATTTTATAACTGCTTAACAAGTTCACATGAACCACGCATTTTCTTTTTAATAACCGGCCATATTGAAACATAATATGTAGTTTATTGCTTGTTACGGGCGAAAAGTTCAACCATAGACGTAGCTTAACAGGTCGACACCTTGATAATGCATTCAAACCATGTGTAAACCCCAACAATGGCATGCCCAGCATTCATGGGGTTTGGCATGGAGTACCAAGGCTTGCTTTCACTATTGACAATTGATTAGCCTTTCTTTGGCAGGTATATCTTGATGGAATATATTTGCATTTCATTTGGACTGGCTTAACAGTGTGGGGACTAATTACGCATAGTTTTCTTTGACTTTTACTATTTGTTGTGGTTGAAAAAGCCGAGGGAAGAGGATATTTAGTCATTCAGTCAGATATTCATGCAAGATTTTTAGGTGATCTAATTTTTAAGCCTAGACGTCAATTAAGCATATAATAATGTCCTCCTTTGTAACTACAAATGTATTGAGCTTTTTCTTAAAGGTATTAAGTATAGTAATACTAAATACATAAGAGAAAGGTCATGTGGTACCCACCCTAAAATAAAACTTAAAATGTGTATTTCTATCGATGTCTATGCATTTCATCTGGAGATGGCAAATTCCCATTTATGTTAAAAACTTGCTATTTATAAGTATTCAGGAGAGGCGTGAACGTACCAGAAACTTTCATGCCATATCCATGTTCATCTCGGACGACGGTGACGGTGAGCAAGTCGTCGCCACCCGGCGACCCCGCCCCGCCCAGCATCACCTGTAACCAATAAACACAACACAATTAACATTACATAACAATATAATCATCAGGTCTTTCTTGGCCACTACCAAACAGAAGCCTCTCCGATAGCACGCCACTGAGCTCAACATCACAAATCAAGCAGAATCTTTCCATGTATCCATGTAAAAATGTGTAGCTAATTATTCGATTTCACAGATCACAAAATCGTATATTAAACTCCATACTTCATGCTAGTTATTATTGAAAATCTTTATATGAAAGAAAAATTCAATGCAGATGTTAGGCTTGCTAACATTGAGCAGTCGACCTATGTACCGGGTGAGGATAGACTATACCGAAGTTAACAAATGCATATTTGAACACTCATTGCTTGGCGATAATGGGATCACAAATATAATATCCACTAATTTTCCTCACCTATCCATATAATATTATGTACTGTACATATAATTCGCTTAAATAACAGTAAATTAAATGATACACGTATTAAATTCGAACTACAAAGATTAATCGACAGCGAAATGTATTTGGAAATCCCCGTGCAAACGATACAGGTATCCATGGAGATAGTGGATGTACGTACGAGTCAAACTGTAGAAGGTATATAAACATTAGCTAGCAATGTTATCCTAATGCTAAGTAGACTAAACTATGACAGACACACAGACACGTTATGTCTATCAAGACAATAACGACAGTAACTGTTTTGGGAATAGTTAAACCCATTTTTAGCAGTGGTGGATAGAAACCGGTCAATTTGTTACGGAATACAGAAAATTCACGCTTGCACCAACTTTTATTTTATGAAATTAGGAGATTCATTGATTTATTATTCATTACTTTAGTTTTATGTTTCCGAAGGGCTTACTGCTAAGCATGAACAAGCTGATACAGATATTTCACATCTCTTCAATTGGAACAATAATGACAGCATCATATCACCACTTTATGCTTACAGTAGTCTAAAAGTTCTTAACCGAATTCTTCATAAAGATGGGTATAGAACCTATTTTAAAAAGTTTTATCATACTAAAGAATAAATCAAAATAGCTATTAACCATTACAAAAATCCCTATCAAAAACGTTGTTACAAAACCGCTTAAAACAGGTGTGATTAAGCAATGTGTCACCAAAACCCTGATAAATGATATTACTCACGCCGGAAGACACATTACGGCTTGAACCCATTTCCTTCTGCCCAAAAACTTCCCTGTAGACACTGACACAATGTGGCTGACAAGTCAGAAAGGTCACCTTAGCCAGGATTAGGTAGGAGAGGTTATATTACATTACATGTTACGTCATCGTATGGTTTCAGTTGTGAGCGGTTCACACTAAATCATTGTACCTATCTATTATAAACGACATTTTGTTAAGCAGACGGGTGTTCTTGTCGTATTTTTAGGTAATGGGTTAAAATATAGAATAATTTTTATTTTTAGCCGGTAATCGGGCAGATGGATCACCTGATGGTAAGGAATCGGCGTAGCCCATGGACACCTAGAACACCAGAGACGTTACAAGTGCGTTACTGGCCTTTTGGGATTAGGAATTTGAGGATTGTTAGGGCTCAGGGATTGGGAAAGTGGGGGAGGGATAATTGGTCCGGGATTGGATTTTTACCATTGCCATTGGGATTGGAGCCTATTGTAAAGAGTGCATATCTGTATCTTACACAGACTACTTGATACAGTTTTATTGGATCAAAAATTGGGAAAGTTAAGAGTTCACGAGAGGCCCTGACATAAATCCGAAGAAGTTTACTCCAGACGCCAAAATATAGTGAAAAATCAACTTCATTCTCGTAACACGCTTCCAACGTATTCCGCGAACTCGCGTACGTACGAATGCAAACGTAATTTCGTCGAAGCACCGTGTTTGCTTGTCAAGTCATCAATGAACATCCGATCATGTGTTCCATCAAGATCCACCGTGAATAGAAAACATTAAAGTTTGTATCAAGAAAACTGTTTTACGTTGGTGCCAACGTAAAACAGTTTTCACGACGCGACGGTAAAATGTGTGAATTAAATTCCCTATTACACGAAACAGTCCATGTAAACAGGAAACGTAAGAAATCTAATCCTGCAGTTGAATTAGATTGAGAACGAGCGATATTAGACTGAGTTTTCTGAAGTGTAGAGTTTAGTTTTGTAAGATGTTATGGTGTTGCGTGCTGAGTATAATAAACATAACTTTTATTCTTGTTTATGTGTACAATTGGGAGTTCATTGAGATGTTTTTACTTGCCGGGTTCGCTATTGTCTGGCTGTGAACAGGTTGTTCTCAATGGCCATTCAATACAGATTCAGTGCAGTAGGTTACCAATGACTTCTTTGCCGTATGGTCAAAGGAGTCAATAGCCAAACGTCACTTCCTTACGACTGTCTCGACCTGAATCAAGGATACTATCAGTTCACTTGTGGATGTCGTGTTCGGTGGGCGTATGACACTTGCGACAATGTTTATAACACCAAAGATGAAAGACTACATGATCCTCAAAATTCTGCTTAATCTCCATAAACCATTAACAACGTATTATACACTATGAGGTCCATACCTTTATGAAGAACATCACTAATAGCATCGATATCAAAACCACATAAATCTATCACTTCCTTCGTACCACTGACATTCACTTCACACTTTCGTAGACAAACAACTGACACAGGACTGCCACAAGGCACACAGAAAGAGTCTAAAGGCCTACTAACACAATTACCTACGCATCGGCTGAAACCCTCAACTGGAGCATGAAGAAGGGTCCAGGGAATACTGCCCTCCCCTTATGGTTAATTTTAAAACAGTTCTAGCTCGGACGATAACGGGTCAGTAGACATTATGTAGCGGGTTCACGATTAAATAAATAACAACCCTTTTGTCCACGCCTCATATCTGTTAGTTGCGTTATAAATCTAATGTGATTATAAGCATGTCATTTGTTAAATGGAATAGAGAACAAATCTCATACCTAGGCTACACAATTTAGTTTTAACAATATACTATAACGACCTACATCAAAAACTAGCTTAAGGCCCTAATAAATCTTTACAGTAATAAAATTTGAGTGGAAGGAGGGTAGAGAGGCCTTTGCCCTGTAGTAGGACGATCATGGCTGAAAATAAATAAAAAATAAGAAAAAAAATCTGTTTGTAATATTGAAATATCCGCTTTTTACTACATGCATAATTGCATATGAATATACATACAACACATATACTCAAAATAACATCTTTTACAATTTTTGTCAGTTTGTCTGTCTGCCTAATCGCTGAAATGCCTGGACTGATTTTGGCGGGATTTTTATTGGCAGGTAGCTGATGTACTAAGGCGTTACATAAGCTAGTTTTATTTTAGAAAAACGCGGTCTAAGTTGCTGGTACAGCTAGTATTAAATAATTACTAATCCCACTCTGTCTATTTAGAAACATACTTTAAACAGTAACCTACATTAATAAAACCAAAAGCAAGCAAGCTACGGCAACAATAGGAAAGTTTTCTACAAAAAAACATGGACCGTTTTAAAACCGGTAGGCTCACAGCATCATCGTAATTGCGAATTTTAAAATAGTCTCGTCAGAACTGACGTACAAACAAGCGAGGCGTCAACGCCTGATGGTGAAAACACCTATTTAAAAGTCTTACAAAACAAAAACAACGTAACAAAATATTAATTAGCGGCTACAAATGATCCACAACGCAGCACTAGCGCCACTGTTCTAGGAAACTGACACTGAAGCTAGTTTTGGCAACACACACACGTCATGCACTGTCCAGAATGTCAGAGGCGAACACTGCCAAACTGCCAACATATTCTGGAGACTTGCTATAGAAAAATTATAAGATGGTAATTGACATGGCCCGAAATAGATGATTGGTTTCGGTCGCGTACGATGTCATCCTGTTTTCATTATATTTTCAACTTTTTATGCACGTGTAGTTTTGATGGCTACAGTAAAATGTCCATTACGAGCTCCCAGTAGACTTAAGTTATTATTTTCGTAGACAGGCATAAATGTTATTATTATCTAACCAATTTTATGTTTAAGATCATGTTTAAAGCTATTGAAAACTGTTAGACCAAAGCCTTACAAAATTACGTACCCAAGTAAAAAGGCATCATCTAAGTTTTCATAAACCTGTCCAGCCCACGGAACGATCGGGATACGAATCGGAGATCAGGTAGGCAGGCCCTAGCACTCCTCTTAAAGTTATTAAAAATATCACACGATTAAACTGATTTTATCGCCATAGCTAATTAAGATACCATCACAGATAGATATGTAGAAATATTAATTACCAGTTACAATATACGTAATCAAAACTTTGAGAATAACCGCACTAATACAACAAATACTGCAATAAAAGTAGCCACAGTTTCAATCAAGCCGCGTTTATAACAACACCGCTATTCAACATACCGATCAATTTCCAAACAAACAAACAATATTCTACGTGAAATACAACAATTTACGTAGTCCAGAGAGATCAATACTAGACGAGCTAGAGCAAATTAATAAACATAATATAGATAGAGAGAAGCCGGTATTGGAACACAATGATTGCGTGCCATTCTAGTTCAACCTCCCGAGATATGTACCAAGAATGTAAGCATTTCATCTTATAGAACATTTTCTACTCAAGATGGAACTTCCATTAATGGTTGGAGATATAATTTAATCGCAGTTTTATTGAACCGTTCCGATTCTATCGCTTTTACTCCATTTGGTCTCTCCTTGGCTGTATTATCGGGGATTTACTTAAAGATTAGTATTCATCAAGGAAGCAATTTAGTACTGCCGTATCTTCTAATATTACTGTCTTATTTTTAAGTCTATATTAGTTGCATCATATAAATAGGATGAGGTTGTGGGTGGTACCAAAAACATGATTCATTTGATTTTAACTTTGACATTTACTGACGCATTTCGATCCGATTTTGATGTTGATTTCTGCAAGTTCAATAGGATAAATTCAGATAATCTTATCTGTGTGCACTAGTTGCAGTTCAA